CGGGCCACATTTTATGTTTTTTGTCCCAATATATTAAATTCAGCAAATCAACATTAACTATGCATTAAAACATGCAGATGCGTGTTCCCTGTAGAGGATGTTAACTTACGTTCACTTAGAAAATCAACAAAACATGTGATTGCAACGACGTGTATGACGTGTAACTCTGCTCTAATATGTGTGAATACAATTATAGTCTCTATGCCATAAAACCACAGCAGAACAATAGAGGCGGCTTAACTTCAGAGCCATACTCTGCTATGGGGTCAGAGGACAGAACACTGATTGGATTAAAGATTAAGCTGTGGAGTGTGGAAACCAACTGTAGCTTGAGCAACATCGCCGTCGGCCACAAGACATCTACTAGAAAAGAGGTGAAACAATGAATAACAAAAAATATTACCAGGGACGGAGCACGAGAGTTGTTGTTGAACAGCTTTAGCACTGATATTATCAGCCTGTAATAAAGTTTACTGGGTTTATTTTGGATCCACACTGAAAAAGGTCATTTTGAATGTAACTGAGACCAATGTTTACACTGCTTCCATGTGAATGAACTATATCAACACGTCTTTCACTTCAGTTACTTTTAGCAACAATTTTCAATGTAATATGTTTTATCCACATGAAACAAACTGTTGCTGTCCAAAAAAAATAAAAGATTTTCAATTTTTTTATTTTTGTACATCATTTGAACACAGCAGCTGTTCTTTACATTGTGTGAACAATTGATGATGAATGGAGCAACAGAAATGCTCCAAAATGGCTTGGAATAAACACTCTTTATTAAATTATATTCAAATTTAAGAACATTTTTCCCTTCTCTATTAAAGTTACCATTTTAGAGATACGTGTGCTTTTTTGGACAGCAACAAAATGGACACCTTCGAGTCAAGAAAATTCAGAATGCAGAAGAACCACCTAAAGAACTCTTCAGTGGATGTTTCTCTACAGAAGTATTTTTGTAAATGAGGTCTGCAAGTGTGCAACTGTTTTCCATTAAAGGGCCCATATCATGAAAAAACACATCTTACTATTTTTAATCTCACTATGTTTTTTCATGCTATAGGCCCTTTTTAATGATAATACCTTTTCATTAAAGTGCCCACATCAAGGAAAACCACTTATGTTTTAAATAAAAGAGTTGATGCAGTATGTAAACATTGCTAAAATTCCAAAATGCACCCCTAACTTGCCAGTCCATATAGTCTATACATGGAAACTAAGCTGCAAAAATAGCCTATTCTAAATTCACTGTTTTTGTGATGTCACAAAAATCAACATTTGAACATATATCTGCCTATTCAGACTAACCTCGACCATTCACACTGATGTTACAAGGACTTTTTCAGCCTGGCCTTCTTTTCGAATAAGGCACAATACAGTTCAGCCAATGAGAAGAGAGGTCATTTACATATATCAGTTTTAAAGGCACAGTTACAAAAACGGCACGTTTAATCAAGTTGTTTTTTCCTTAGAACCATATGTGTAAGCCATGAGCCTTCCAAACCTTTAGTTTCAAGAGTGTACATACTTGCTTTCAAAGCAAAGTGTCTGTGCATGTGTTAGCATCCTCTGTTACTGCTGTCCTTTAACAACTGATCTGAGACCTGACCTCTTGACCTTTACTGCTATCATTCACAATTAACGGACAGGATGACCAGACAGGCCCTGGGCTGCTGCTGAGATCACGAAGACACACAGACCCTGAACAAATGGTGTGTCTATGGTTTTGTACAGCCGTTCCTTGAGCCTTGTCCAGAAAACAGCCTATACCACTCATATCATGTACTCTGACAGAACCAGGCAAAAGACACTGAATGAAAATAAACATAACAAAGATGAACCAGAACAAGGTTTTCTGTGTTAGTAACATGTGGTGTCATGAAATGCTCCAAATACATCATGATATTAGGGTATGAGATCATATTTAAGTTTGCATTAAACAGACCATATCATTGATAACCATATTTCCTAACTTTTTTGGCAGGAAAAGGGTCATGTTTAACTGATTTTGGTGTAGCGCCGTAAATCATTATCCCGTTTTTTTACATTATACTAGGTTTTGATAGTATCTACTGTTGCTTTTTTGTCTGTTTTAACTTAGCAAACCTCAGTAAAATGAAATACTGTGATACATATCAAGTATAGTGAAAATACTTTGAAGCATTGTGATATTTTTGCCAAATCGCCCAGCTTTTCAGCTACGCTATGCCAAAAAATGTCTTGCAAACCTGACAGCTTCCTTTGAGCTCCTTTGATTTGGTTTTGTCTCAAATATGACACCAGGGAACCCTACATAATGTATTTCTGCTGCCATGGCAGCAGGGACACAGCTGTTTTATGGAATATAGAGTTATCATAGATACAATGCTGACTTTCTGTCAGTATTGTTACAAATCAACATTGTTGTTCGACACCAACATAGATGATATACCGTCTAACCCTGCAACAACGGGTAATAAAAACTGGTCCTAGCTGCACTTGTGAAGGAAATATAATGGGGCAGAAAAGCTAGCTTTGGTCCTTCCCCCTGCCTTCACACCCTGGAAAGCCTGACCATCTGCTGCTGCACTAATGACACTCCTTCGCCCTGTAAGCCTCAAACTGGGGGCTTACCACCAATGTGCGTCAGACAAGCTGTACCATCAGAGTTAATGCAGGCTCCGAGCACTGATTTCCAATCAGCAACACCTCCAAAACCATAACATGTATTAGTGAAGGGGTAGGAACTGCAGCTGATTCATAATCAGTATAGGTCTATATATTTTCCATTCACTGTGGGAGTTAATGTGTGGGGCAATAGTATGGTAGCATTTCTATGGGCAGGATAGAGCAAGGGGTGGGCGATATGCTGATATGCTATCACTATCGTGATAAAATTTAATAAAGTAATACACTGTGGATATCATCAGTACTTCTAGAATACTGAACAACTGCATGTAACATAAACGACTGATTTAGAGCAATTATAGAGAGCATGTAAACAACAACAAGAGCTGGCGCATAAGCTGCACAGTAACAAGCAGCTGACTGGAAGTCACTCATTTCATTCAAGACCAGTTGTTTGTTTGTTTTTTTTTGCTTTTGTTCCTTCTTAAGTTGGTTATTTTTGCAAAAAACATTGTAGATCATAGTTTTATAGCCTTTTAAAAATATGGCACTATTGATTTAGTGGTATATTTTGTCCATCCCAACACAGAAAACTAACTACTATGAAATATATAGTAGCTTGTGAAAATGTTAAGTATCATGATGTTATATTTCTGCCATATCGTCCACCCCTACTATATATATCTACTGTAGAATTACTCGCATAGCAAGCCAATGGCATGGTATGGTTTCTATAGACAAGATACATGCATGAAATTTCTCCCTCTAGCTCAATGAAACATAATAACCTGAGAGAGCACACTAACCCCACAGTTGGACATTGTGCGAACGGTCAGGCATGCTGACAATAACGTGTGAAAATCTTTTGGATCAAGTGCAAATGGGTCCTCTGATTCAAGGGCTTTTTTGGTGATGAAAACGAGTTTCTGATGGTACAATACCCTCAATAGCAGTCTGAATACCTCTAGTCTATACATTTGTAAAGTACTTTTTTAGTATGCAAACCTCCTGCTTTAAAACCATAGGCAGGGTTTTGTGGTTAGAAGAGGGAGTGTTTAGCCATGACGTTTGTTTCCACTGTACATTCCCAGGATTATTAGAAAAACAGACGCTAAACGTAAAGGAACTAGTTGGTTCACAGTCTCCCCAGGCATAATTGTTGGGTTCCGGGCTGTTGCAAGCATAGCCTGATGTTATCAGTGGTCAGTGTTCTACAGCCAGTGACAACCAGGCTGGACAATCTCTGCAAAATCTCAGGTCACATAGCTTGAAGCTCAGAGCACATAATGAACAGTGGAAAGTATTCATAGCACAGCTAAACGAAGAACTGAAGCAAGTCTGAATCTGTAGGGGGAAAAAAACTGATTTTACAGTGGGGGGTGATCTTATACGGAGCCCGTAAGCATAAATGTTAATGGTGCCTCATGCCAAATAAAGGTACTCAAGCAGGCAAGAGATCGCAGCACAGTTCGGTCACGTACACTTTGCTGGACTGGAACCCACCAGGACCACATTTAGACGACCCTGATGTATGTGAGCTATACATTGGCTGTAAAAGGTCAATACGCTCTCAAGTAGTTAATAAACATGTAGGCAAGATATGTTATACAACTTCAGTCCAGCATATTTTGGTGATTTTACTGCTCAAACATTCTTGGTACAGGTATTTCTCAGGTTTAGTAAATGTTAGAGCAGATGAATCACCAAACTGCTGGAGCCCTCCAGGACCACAGTGAGATGAACCTGATCTAAGCAATAAAATGGCTTCAATTTTAAATTAGATATCTGTAAAATCTGCACGCTTTCAAGAAGCTACTATTTGTGTAGTCATGAGGTTCGACAACCATGAGTTTACTAAACCTGGGAAAGAAGTGATGACTTGGACCAGATGTGCTTGAGCAAGTAAATGACCAAGCCTGTGCTGGACTGGAGTCCTCTAAGACCAAAGCTGCACTGAGCATGTGATTAAATGGCTTCAACTGTCTGATGAAGAATCTTTGTAAAGCAACCGAGCTCTCAAGACGTTATCTATTGTGCAGGGAAGAAGTTGTGCAACTTGGGTCGTGCACAGTTTGGTCATTTACCTGCTCAAACATTCCCCGTCCAAGTCATTAGGTCATTCCCAGGTTTAGTAAAATGGACCATAATGAGATGATCCTGATCTAAGCAAGCAATAAAATGGCACAACTTGGGTCCAGCACAGTTGGACATATACCTGCTCAAGCACACCTGGTGCAGGTTATTAGCTCATTCCTAAGTTTTGCAAATGTAAGAGCAGAGACTGAACGATGCTGGACTGGAGTCCTCCATGCACGCTATAAAAGCCCTTCCAATGTCTAATGAAAGATCTTCTAAACAGAAGAGAGAGAAATGTTCAGTTCCCTCACCATTTCCTGTCTGAGAAACACCATCTTGCTCTCCAGCCGTTTCAGGTCCTGGTTGGTGGAGTGTCTTTTGGCTGGAGCCGTCAGTCTGGACTCGATCTTGCCTCTGTGCTCCAAATCCGCGATGGAGCGAACCAAACTCTGCGGGACTTTGCGACCGAGCTTCATCTCTATCTCCTTAAAGTCCGGCACGGTGCTCTCCTCCTCCTCCATGGCTCCGGCTGCGAGCTACAGGTCGGACGGACAGGACTGAATAATTAACAGCGCGATGAAGAAGTGACCGCGCACGGATCCTGTTGCACTTTCACCGGCTCACTGTGTGAAAAGAGTCTACACTGTCCTTTCTGTACGAGCTCAGTCGGTTTTCTAAAGACGTCTGAGTTCAGTGCGGTCATATGAAGTGACAGAACCGGTCAGACTGATGGCCAGTTTGCTCTGAGACTTACTCAGCCAGCGCGCCTGCGCACTACCCGGTTAACACGACGTGGGTGAAGTTATTTATTTTCTTTTCTACCTGTATTCCGCAGAGCCCCGCCTCCTGCGGTGGGATTGGCTGGCGTCCGGCTTTCTGCCGGTGAACTGCTTGTGTAGCCAATCCTAGCGCAGGAGGCGGGACCCCTGGTAGCCAATCCTGGTAAAGGAGGCGGACCTTGTCGAATGAAGGGCGGGAAAATAATGACGCGCGTGACGCCTTTTTAAACGTTAGAGTTAGTTAACTTACCTTATGGAGGATCCAGACAGCGGTTCTGCTCCTTTTAACACCGTGAAGTTTGTTTAGAGGGTTAATTTGACTGTCAGAGAGACAAATGTGAATCTGAACTTCGAACTGGATGCTATGGCTGCATCATTATCACATCTTTGACTGAAAACCACCGTCCTCTGGTGGGAGAAATCTGGACGTGCCGCTTGCTAACCGACACTATCGCGATCGACGTGTATTATAGTGCAGGGACTGGCAACCCAAATGTAAAGAGGAGCCACTTTGGGAGCCACAACATTTTATGTCCCTTTAACTGATTTACCATTTTACCAGCTTGGCTATGAACATGTCTCAGCATCTGCTAATGTACTAGTATAGGCTAAAAATGATAATAAAGCATAAACGAAAACGCAAGCTTAACTTAAGCTTTAGTTTAGCTATGGCCGCTTTTTTGAGTTTTCTTTTTTTTCAAGTTAATACAAAATCAGTCAGTTCCAGATTATTTTTACAGCGTACATTGCACCATTTTACATCAAACCACTCTGAATAACTGTTTACATTTGGGCAACGGTACAAAGCAGAAATTCAGAAAAATTGGTGGAATCCCCCTCCTAACATTCCGAACTGTCACTGCAGTTAGTTGGCCAACACACATAACCACTTCCCGGAGACGTAATTAAGAGGGCAGAATTTATGGGAAGAGATCACTGCTAAATGAAATTAATGATAAATGAGGTTAAACATGCTTCTTTTGCTCCGAAGTGCATTAACTTAACTGACGTATATCTGCTATATTGGGGCCGCTAGAATGCCTTCTTGTAGAACGCATCTCATCATTTGACTTCTTAGTGTTTGACTGTTTCTCGTTGCAGATTAAACATAACCGGAAACCAGCTCGAGTGCTTATAAGTGCAAGGAGTATGTCCATTTGTTTCCAAATTCTCGTTGCTCGTCTTAAATGTCTCTTCTTTGCTGTTCCGTTAGCTACTAGCTAGGAATATCCTATATCATCCTATCATAGTGTTGCTATAGTGACCAGCAGTCTGGGTTTGAAGGTTGGTGAATTAGCAGTTATACATTGATTCTCTAAACTCTTCAGACCATTTATTGTTTCAGCTTTATTAGAACGGTGTGTCAGAATGCTCCGCAAAGCTTATTTTAGTGCAAAGGAGGATTATTTTATTTTTACCTAAAAATCTGATTCTGCTGTGGAGCCGCAAGCGGGCAGTAAAAGAGCACATGTGGCTCCAAAGCCGCATGTTGCTGACCCCAATAAAGCGGATATACGTCAGTTAAGTTAATGCACTTCAGAGCAAAAGGAGCATGTTTAACCTCATTTATCATTAATTTCATTTATCAGTGATCTCTCCCCATAAATTCTGCCCTCTTAATTACGTCTCTAGGAAGTGGTTATGTGTGTTGGCCAGCTAACTGCAGTGACAGTTCGGAATGTTAGAAGGGGGATTCCACCAATTTTTCTGAACTTCTGCTTTGTACCGTTGCCCAAATGTAAACAGAGTTATTCAGAGTGGTTTGACGTAAAATGGTGCAATGTACACTGTAAAAATAATCTGGAACTTGCTTACTTTTTCAAGTTATATATATATGCTACATGTGTATTTTTGTGTTTTTATTTGTGATGTCGATCATTACCATAGGACCCTTTTGCTGAAGAACGCCCTGCATGGACCTCTCCGCCATGAATGAATTCAAAAAACATGTTTTAGTCTGAAAACTATCATAATGTGTTATTATGTGGCATCAGGCAGTGTATTTGTAACCATTAGGGACATACAGTTCCTCAGACATCTGGTTCCTATCACCACCACTGTGAACAATTCTGACTCAGTACATTTCTCTTGAATGAAGCGTTTCACATCAAACCTCTCTGAATGACTGTTTATGCAACAACGTTGAAACATCAGTATAGTCTGTGCATCTCAGACTGTGTTGGCTAATGGACAATGTTGATGGGTTGTTGTTATTGACAAAGAACACAAACAATAGATCTACTCTACAAAATGTTGTTCTAACTTGTAGGTAATCTGTTTTGCTTAAAACTTGGAGTTCACTGAAACTCCAGTATTAAGTAGCAACAAAAACAATTTGTGTGGTGGGTTAACTGTAAATCAAAACAATACCTAAATAAAGAAGGTTGGAAAGCTTCAACATTACACTATAATGTGTTACTAAACACTTAAAAATACAATTAAAACAATATCATTTTACAAAGAAATAAGATATTTACAATGAATGTGTAGTATGTATTCTCTGGTTGGGGGGTGCAGGATGAGGGTAACTTTGTGATGCTCCAAACTGAACATCTTCTTGGGCTCCCTTTGGCAGCCCTGGTGTAGAGGTGTTGTGAAGAAACAGACAGGCTTGTTGACCAAACCTAATCTTATTTTACACATTGCTTCAAAAACAGGGAATATCCACATTGCATCTGTGCTCTGAGTGTATAACTGTGCATTTAGCCATTTTGCGGGACTGGATGTTCCCAGATTGAACATTTAGAAATGTGAACATTTACATGTTTGGGGCAAATTAGCTGCTCCCTGCCAGGATAAGTCGTTTAAGAAAAACCGATGTCATATGTATAATATGGTCATATGTACGTTTTTTTGGCTCCTGGCGTAAAGATTAGAGTTGGGTTAGGTGCAGCACAAGCAAGAAACAGAAACACCCCACAAGCACAGTAATTTAAACCACTGTCCCATTCACACCAATTAGGGGTGATAATGCTTTACCATCAGCATGGTCTGCCATCTAGTGGTCATTGGACTATCACGCAGAACCGGTGGCCTACATAATACTGCAGAGACTGCAAGTGAGGGGGTGGAAAGAGTGAACTTGGTAAATGTTTTTTTTTATTGTGTTCAACTGCAGAATTAGTCTACAGAGTTTTCATTCAATTGAAAACAGTTAAATAAGCACCAATTACAAATTTATGTTTACAAATTTACATCAAACAATTTCTGAAGCAGTGTTAGCACCTAATTTTGTGTCATTTGAAATGTAAATGTAGGACTAAGTGCAATTAGGCATTTTTCTTCTATGTTAGGAGTTGTGCCCAGACTTTGGCTACGTATGGCTTGAGGCACTTCTCCTTTTACTGAAAATACTTACAAACGTAATGCTTTAGAGCCTCGCTCTCTATCTACCACATAGAAATGATACAAAATGTCTGAGAGACAGAGGGCAGTGGTTGCGGTTGCTAGGACCAGTGGTTTTAGACCACAGACTGGGTCTTGTCGTTGTGTCTGTCGTGATCGTCGTAGCGCTGGTACTGTTCTCCGAGCAGCGGCTGTCTGCCGTCCATCTTGTACGATCTGGAGCGAACGGCACACGTGGTGATGGCGAAGATGATCGCCACGACGATGAGGGCTGCGACCACGGCGATGGTGATGATCTCAGTCAGAGTGATGGGACGTGCTGGAGACAGAACCAGTCATTATAAGCATGTCGTTACACACTGAAACTTGTTGTAATGCATGTATTAAAATGAGCACTGACAACATTTTAAAGGTCGTTTATTCCCTAGAATTAAACAGGCTCTTTTTGTTACTGTGCCTTTAAGACTGATGTATGTAATTGATCTCTGCTGTCCTGCATTGCACCTTATTCAAAGTAGGCACATATATGTAAATGGGTTAGATTTTGTGGCATCAGTGAACTCAAAATAGGCTGTTAGTTTCCATATATACTGTATGAACAGGGAAGTGAATTGTATGTTCGAAACTTTAACAATATTTACATACAACATCGTTCCATATAGGAATTATATATATATATATATAATTATTATATATATAATCATTTAATTAAAAAAGTAAGGAAAATACAGTTTTCCATGATATGAGCCCTTTAAGGAAAAAACAAACTGTCTTATTGGGTGCACCAACATGGGAACTCATATTTTTTACACAATTATCTGCCCATACTGACATAATTCTTTTATCATTGTTCATCCCTACCATCCAGTGTTTCCCAGTAATAGAGCACAAAAATAGCCCTAAATAAAACAAACTAATCTAAAATGAAAGTTTAAGCTTTCCAACCCTTAATCTAAGCATGGTGAGCAAGCAAGCAGCAAAACCTTCGTATCAAAGACCCATATGATACATACACGGCCACTCAACCTCGTAGGAATAACCCAGGTTTTCTGGTGCTGTGAGAAACATCTCTGCATTGGTGATGGGAGGCCAGAAAGGCACCATGTTGTAATCTCTGTTGTGGCCAATGGGAGCGTTCTCCAGAGGATATATAGCAGATTCTAAAATAAATACAAACAGCGTAATGTAAATGTTACAAACAAACAAGCAAACAATAACAACAACATACAAGAGTATCAATATTAAAAAATGCATCAGCACAATGTGCAGTTAAACAGGACTGTATATTAAAATACACATAAAGAATGTACTGTGTGCTGTAGTGTACTGTAGTATACCAGACAGGACTGCTTTCAAATGAGGTATAGCCTAGTAGTCATGCAGAAGAAATGAATAGATTAAATTTGTGTGGCTAAGATGTAGATATTTATATGCTTATGTAAAAATATGTGCTTTTGGCTTTCAAAGTGTTCTGCATAGTTTCTCAGAGAACTTATATTTCTCTAAATTAAATGTGGCCCCAAAAACCCTGCCAAGTTAACTGATAAATTACTCAGGATGTCCACAACACACTTTAAAAAGATGGTTCTTTGAGGGTTCTTTAGCAAAGAAAATGGTTCTATATACAACCATGAGCACTCAAAGAGTAAAAAGTTTCTTTAAAAGGTTCTATATAGCACCAAAAAGGGTTCTTCTATTGTTACAGGCTTGACACTGTAACAGTAGAAGAACACTTTTTGGTGCTACACGGAACCCTTTTCAAAAAGGTTCTATATTGAACCATCTACAGCACATTCTTCATCAATCCAAACAACCATTTAATGATGTAAGAAACTCTGTAATCAAGCAAAGGGTTATTTGAGTGTTCATGGTTCTGTATAGAACCATTTTCTTTAATAAAGAAGTACTGACCTTTAAGTGTGTAGTGTAGTATTTTTGTGATTTTATGCACCAAAAACAGTCATATTACATTTTATATGACCGTTTTCCACCCTTTTATCCCCTTTAACCTTTAGAATTAAAAATTAAACAAGCTGTGATGTTACTGTGCCTTTTTGTAAATGACCTCTCCTCTGATTGGCTGTCCTGTATTGTGTCTTGTACAAAAAAAACCTGAACCTCTTCTAATACCTTCAACATGAATGGGCAGCACTAAACTGCTGTGGGCTGAATAGGATGTTACATGTAAAGGAGTTTGGATTTTATTACATCACAAAAACAGTGAATTGTTTTTGTAGTTTAGTTTCCGTATATGAACTGTATGGACTGGGGAGTGAACAGCACTTTTGAAACTCTAACAGCGTTTACATCTCAGAAAAAGTGAGGCAAATAAATTCTTTCATGATTTAGGGCCTTTAATGAAAAACTGGATTTGTAATCTTATCCATTCACTGATCACTTCTTTTTCATTTGTGCATTGATGATACGCAGTAAAGAGCATCAGCAGGTGTCACCTGGGTGTCTCCGGAGCCACTCATCAAAGATAGCGTCGGTGAAGGTGTGAAGCAGGATGAAGATGGGGTCGTTGGGGGACAGGTGCGTCGTTCCGCCTGTCCCGTTCAGGAACAGGTGAGCCAGGTTGTGCAGACTTCGCACCACAGGGTCGTAGGCCCCCGCAGGGTGGCTGTAACCTAGCAACACAGCACAGTTGAATATTAATGCCGACAAGACAAAATGTAGTGTATGATCTTCATCTTCATGGCTGCTTTTTGTGTTGTATGTAATCATTACATGTTGAGCCTTATTACGAACTTTTACTACACTATTTAAATGAAATGATTTACTTATTTATTTATTTTGTGTTTATTTGATGGGGGCTCACACATGAGCATAGAAAGAAAGAATTACAAAGAATTGTATGAAATGAACATGCCAGGTATCATAACATTTACAGTTGTGTGCAAAAGTTTGAACACCCCTGGTCAAATGACATGTTCTGTTGATTTTATAAGTGAAAATAAGAATTTAACAAACTGAGAAAAATAAAACATTAATAAGAAATGTTTTATTATTTAGTTTTATTATTATTATGTCTTGTTTTTATTTTCAATTCAGTAAACAAGTAACATTAGATCATTTTTTGTGCCATTCATCATGAAATTGTAACCCAGTATAAAGAGTAATTGGTCATTAAAAAAAAAAATAGAGAGAGGGAGAAAAAAAAGAAAATTTAGCAGTTTTATGCACTCCACAGTTTATTTTCTAAATGAAATCATATTGGAAAAAAACAAAACATAAAAAATAAAATGTGCCCTAACCTTTGCACAGCCACATTTTATGGTTTTATTTTTCCCGATATGTTAAATTCAGCAAATACACAGTAGTTTTGCATTAAATTGTGTAGAAGTGTGTTCTCTGTAGAGGATGTGCTCACTTATATTCACGTAGAAGCCAACTGCATGGGTGCCACAACTTTTGCACACAACTGTATGTTTATGTTTTCTATGCAAGTCGATGTAAAATGTTTCTCTTTTTGATCATGTGCAATTCATCCATCATGGATAAATGGCAACAAACAGTGTTTGGTGTTTATTAAGGTGCGTTAGTTTACAGTCAGATGAAATAAAATATGACAATAATTGATTATCATGTTATATTTGCTTGCATTTTGAACAGATTAAATCTTCTTTGTGGTCAAAGGAAAGGATTAGGAACCCCTTCTGTAGACCAAGACACAATTGCTTGGCTTAAGGTCTTTCTTACCTTTCTAAGGTATTTCTTAAATGAATGAAATAATAAAATGTGATTACATGATTAATTACATTTACATGAATTATATTCACATTCATTTTACATTCTGAATCAACAGGTTTGAGTCTCCACTTCTAAGGGTTTACTGTTTGTTATCATAATTCTTCTCCTCTAATAAATATTATAAATCTCCTGTTCATAAATATCTTCTCTGCTCCTTAAAAACATAAATGTAGCACGGATTGAAAGTTTAGAATCTGCCCTTTCCTCCACTTGCTTCAATGAGCTACGAGTCAGACATAATTTATATGAACTTACATCATGCTTTTTTTCAGTGGTGAAAACATCTCAGGGTTAATTAATGCAGAGAGTAACTAAAAGGAAGGCCTGGAGTTTGTGGTTTTCTTGCTGCTCCATCATTGAAGCCTTTGGACTGAGTGGAGTTCCAGACTGTCAGCAGCAGAGGGCGCTAATTCTACATGGTGGTTTGTCTGCAAGATCGCTGTTGGAACAGCGTGTGCTGATCATTGTATGTGTTTACATGTTATGAAGAAATAGTCTTTTCCAGTTACTTTGACAGAATACGCTACAGTTTCCTGATGGTGTCAAAATATTACTTCAATCAGGCCCAAAGAGCATGTCTTGTTCTCCATCTCCTTCAGATTCTTTCACAGTGTCTTTTTATAAAACATCTGGTCTTCATAGAAATAGGCTAAGATCTAGTCTTCACAGAACTCAAGTATCTGTTCCTACTTGAATTAGCTTTTGGCATAACTACACTGGAAGTATGTTTGGGTGCTCAGAAAGGAATAAAGTTGTGGAAGTCTCCCTTAAACCTATTTACAACTGTTACTCAGTAGCTTACAGTCTAACTGAGCTGTTATGTCAGACGGCTCTTCCTGTCACCAATATAATGAAACTACTGATCATCTATTTTGGAACTGAATCTATTACAAAATGTTCTTGAATAATTTTTCTAATTTTCTTAGAAGAAAAGTAAAAGTAATCAGAAAATGCTTTTTTTGATGCGTAAACTAGAGGAGATAAGGACTTTACTGCAAGTGTACTGTTATTTTCATTAAAATTCGATATGATCTTGCAGTATTCTTAAAAAATTCATATTTTCTTGTTTTCGAAAAAGCCTTTGAGATAAATTTATGCACATGAAATCATTCAAAGAACCCATTACCAATTAATACTGATAAACTGATCAAATATTCATTTTTGTTTGTGTTGGAACAAAACTTTACAGGGGAAGGAAAAAATGTTCTTAGCTTGTGATGGCAGCTAATGTAAAAAGATTTTTTTTATCTAATTGGAGTATTTCTGTTGATTTACAATACAAAGGCTAAGTGGACTTTTCAAATTATGCCAAAAATATAAAACAACAAAACTGGAAATATGTTGTTTTTGTGAGGCATTTTTGTATCTCTTTTGTCGTCAGTTAGTGTTAAATTGCCAATCCTTTTGTATGTGCATTATACACTGGTCAGTAAAGCATGTATATGTGTACACGTGTCTCTCCTCACCTTCGATGGTATTTCTGAAGCTCTCAGACGAGGTGGAGTAGAATGGTGGGGTGTCGAATGTGCTCACATCCAGGCAGGCTGCAACGTCCTGTGGCTCAGGAAGCTTCTGCACCATGGGCCGGGCCACGTTCCCCGCTGGGTTCCTCCTGATGGGGTTACTCTCCGTGCCTGACACAGAGAGAGATGGGCTTTAGGACATGCCAAGTTATTCTATTTATCACAGGTAGAAGCTTATCTAAACAGCATACAGCCAAAACGGAGAGCCTGAACCAAAGGCTGAACCATTTACTGCTAAACATTTTCCTATTTGGAATTGGATAAGCAGCGCAGGGCAGCATTTTTTCCTGAAGGTTTTCATCATGTGAGCACCCAGACAACATGCTGAGCGACTTTGTGGAATGCAGAATGTGGACAGGGTCACTTGCCCTTGGGCCTTTTATTGGATGTGAAGGAAACAGTATTTATTCTAATAAAGCCTTTGAGAATGCCTTTGATGTTCTGTCAGAAAACTGGATTTCTTTGGTGTCTCACAAGACTTAAATCTCTACAGTCACACAAGACAATATAATCCCTGCAAATTTCTAAAGGATCTTCCTTCATTTGTATTGGTTTCAGTGAGTCAAGTGTGCTCAAACACTGTACTGTTCAAAACAGTTTCTGTTATTTTGTATACAATATTTTCATATCCTCGCTGTCACAAAAGCAAAACCTTGTATTTCTGAAATGGTAACTTTACCGACTAAGGAAAAAACACTCTTAATTTTGAATGTAAATTAATGGAATAACATTTTTTCCCAAGTAATTTTGGAGCATTTCTTTTGATCCATTATTTATGACATTTTGACAGCTTGTGCAGAGAAGCTGGTATTTTCATATTCTGTAAAAAATGGAAAAAAGAAAAAAACTGGAGATATGATAAGGTTTTGTCTGATACATAACATAAATATAAAAGTTATTAAGTCTTATAATCACGAAATATTTTTTTAGAAGGTTCATTCAATATTGTAAACATTTTTTGGGAAAAAAAAGTTGAATGATTAATATTCTGTAGGTATCTATTAATAATTATTTGCATTCTACTGCATCAGGATTTTACAACTGCTTTTGAAATATTAGGCATTCCAGATATTCATTTTACTGTAAATTCATTCTCAGTTCTATCCAGTAGTCTCAGAATCATCTACAGCTCTGTTCACTACTCTCAGCATAAAATTTCTCTTTTTAAAAAAACTCCACCCCACTAAAGCTTCTTAAAGCTGCACTATGTAAGATTTGGGGATTTGGAGACCTCTCTGGTGTAAATCTGTAATTGCATGAGATGTGGAGAAGAATATTTTGTAATATAGGCTGTGCTTTGGATTCCTTCCCCGATGAATCTGATGATTGTGAGAGCATTGAAAGAGTATTCAAAGAGAACTCTATCTACTGTGTCACCATATTGTCATCAGTAAAATGTTAATTCTGCATTTGAGACCTAAATCTTGAGCGTGATTTTGTTTTTGAACCTGTGTATGTGAAATGAACCTTTTAGCCAACTGTGTCTGAACACAACAGAGTTAGACCTCCGCATTTAACCCATCCATGCAGTGATACACCACATACACATTAGTAAACACACACACGCTAGGGGGCAGTGAGCACACTTGCCCAGGGCAGTGGGCAGCCCTATCCACAGCACCCGGGGGTTAGGTGCCTTGCTCAAGGGCACTTCAGTCATGTACTGTCAGTCGAGGGGATTGAACCAGCGCCCTTCCGGTCACAAAGCTGGTTCCCTAACCTCCAGCCCATGACTGCTCCTCAAGTGATGTAATGTAGTAATAATGATGTGATGTAAATATGTAAATATGTAGCATATTACACAATAGCATCTTAGTATATTAGAATTGTTTTATTTTATTTTTTCTATTATAGAAACTTTAAAATTGTAGGAAATATAGATCAGACACTCCGGAGCTGGACATGTTGTGAATGAGAGGGAAATGAACTGACTGTTGCAGATGGTGCCCAGACTGTCGTAGTCCTCCACGCTCTCACAGATCACGCGCCACTGTGCGAAGATGGAGTTGGAGCTGATGCTGTTCATGTCGAAGTTGCTGCGTGCGCCCATCAGGTCATCTGTGCAGATGTCGCACTGGTTGCCTCCTATAGCAAAGTTCCAGTATGGCAGTGCGAACGTCGGGTCCCTCAGCATGTCCTGAACAGAGGGAGAAAAATACACTGATTTATGACACATCGACTTGAAGATTGATACTGCAAAGTCAACTGCATCGATTTTGGAATGTCAGGATTGATTATAATAGCATTCAGTATTACATGGGCTCACTTTTCCATAAAAGGCTTGGAGTGTTGTTTTTATTGTCTGTGCTCCACTAATGTGGTAACAGTTTCTCCAGTTACAATTATTTACCTATTAAAGATGGTTAATAGGTAAGTTATAGTAACAAATAAAACAAAAATAACTCTGAATTGAGTTTCATGAATCATTTATACTTCTGATCCACTTGCTGCTCAACGTCTTTCTGATTTGGTCATCTGGTAACTTTAATACGACATTTGATATGTGTTATCATTTATTTTGACATCTGTAGAAAAAATGTGGTTTTACATTTTAAAAAGTTAGTTACAGAGTTTAAGAAACATTCTCATTCTCTTACGGTTAGTAGTTCAAATGAATCAAAATTTTCAAGGTAAATTCCACTGATTTTTTTTAATTCATTGCATATTTAGGTCATTGAGATGTAAAGTAAGTCATTCAAAGTGGTTTGGTGTGAAATGCTCCATTCTAGAGAAACTTACAGAGTCAGAATCATTCACAGAACCAGATGTCTAAAGAGTTTAATGCCTCTAAATGCTTCATTACAGAAAGCTGTTTTACAATAGTTTTGAGAAAATGTTTTGGTCTAAAAAGTATTTTTAAATCTATTCATGGTGGAGAGGCATATACAGGGCAAATGTCCCCAAAGAAAACGTATTTTGTCAAATTAATCATTATTTTACCGTAATCAACATTACATATAAAACTCAGAAGAAATGCATAGGTTCACTGGTGGTTTTGGATATGTACATTTGGCTAAATTTGTGTTGTAGACATCACAACCCTTGGTTCCTATCACCACCACTGTAAAGAAATCAGAGTCAGTACGTTTCTATAGAACGAAGCATTTCATATCAAACCACTGTGAATGACTTTGCTTACATTTTGACCACTGAATCCTGGAGAATTTTTGAAAAATCTGTGGAATTTCCCTTTTTTTACAGTGTGTATACAAAGAAATGGACTAACGAAGAATGGAATTAGCAGCAAAGTCTGCTGGAGCATGCAGAAGGCAGGGGATGATTGTCTGTGTAAGGAGCCTCTCATGTTTACTGGTGTAGACTAATCCTGTTTGTAATGCTCTGCAAAGAGCAAATCACACCAGAATGAGTATCAGCTCTGACAACAACGGCTTCTTTATCTCAGAGTTAGTTCACATCATTACAAGCTTAACAACATTTTCTGCAATTTGACATACGATTACGACAACATAAATATTATCTTTCATGTCCGCTTTTAGACCATTTTCACATGCTTAATGTTCGAATATGCACCTGCTGCCTATGGCACAGGCACCGGGTAAAAGATCTAATCACTAAACACTTACAAGAAGCTACACTACCACTCTTCACTATGTTAACTGTTATTATATTGAATAACAACTTAGTGTAAAAAACAGAGGGATTGATATGTCACAGTGGGTACCAGCACTTGTTCTTTATGATCAACCTGTGTTTTAAGCACCTTGGAACTTTTTTTTAGGTGATAAGCTCAGTTTTATTGAGAACACTATATTCTATACTATCTCACTATTGAGAAGACTATATTCAGAGATCGATTTAATTAGGAGACTTTAAGGTTTTGGAGTGAGTAAAACATACTAGGCCTACGTTGGTTTGGTGGCTATATTTTTAATATCACAGCTTGTTTTGGAAAGCTAACTGCTAACAATAAAGGCAAACATGCCAAGATCATTAGAATGACTGGCAAGCTTATATGTGGCAACTGGATGAGCTGCAAAGGGCTATAGTGCATGACTCAAACCATCATCTTCACAATGAGTTTGAGCTGTTACCTTCGGTATGATGCTTTAGTGTACCCATAACTAATAAGAACTATTTTATTCCCACGACCATTAGCCACTCTTAGCCTGTACATATTGATGTTCTATTGATGTTTTCTGTTTGTATGTTGTTTGAGAATGCACCTGCTGTGCTATGATAGAGGAAGAACAAATTTCCAGTGTTGTTGGACAGTAAAGTTGTACGCTCTTCCATTCAGCGTATTCTATTCCATTTATATGACATAAACTAGACACAAAAATAATAATAAAAAAATACATTTTCATTAACATAGTTATAATAATATCAACACATTTGTTCACCACTTTGCAAATATGATGCATTCAGCATTTTAATTTTAGTAGAACTTCATTAAATGCTTTTTTCAGTAGTTTTGGAATCACCTAGAGCTCATTTTGTACCTGGATCATAAATGAAAACACTGGTTCTTTTGAGCTGTATTTCAACAAACATGCACCTGTCTCCTTGGCTCTTACCTGCATGTCCCGCTCCAGCTGCAGGAGGTGGAAGCGATGCCAGGTGACGAAACCGGGACCCTCATGAGAGAAATCCACACCTCCAAAGCTTGGCTCTCCACCACCCAGGAAGGTTTTACTGACCGAGTAATAGTGAGACCAGACGAAGTAGTTGTAGATGGTGATGTTTTCGAACTGCGGCGTATTCCCGTCGGGTCCGAACACCTCCGAATAGCGGCGGGTGGTGATTACGATGTCCGGGTGGATGGTACGCTTGGCCTGGTCCAGAGCGTCTACAAAGGCACGCTTCTCATTTGCGCTCATCGTCATTACATTTCTCCTGACTGAGAGAAAGAGGGTCACAGTTTGATAAAGCTGGATGATGATTAATAATGAGTGGCTCTTCACGAATACAGAAGAATGTAATTTCAGGGGACTCCTGGGCTTTTCACCTTATTTATTGGCACTATCATAAGAGTATTGTGTTTAATTGAGATGTTAACCCCTTAAATTCCCAGGCTTAATATACATAGTAAGACTTATTATTCAATAAATACAGTCATGCACAATTTTTACCACCCTCAGTCCAATTGCATGCTTTGCTAAGTGAAAATAAACATGAAAAATAACTATAATAAGTATAGAAGACCTAAGCACCACACATGCTATAGTAATTAATAAGCATATTGATTAATGTAGCATGATAAATGTTCCTCACCTACAGGCACCGGCTGGTCACAGTTGGGTCCGGTAAACCCATGTCTGCATCTCCCGCAGTCGTGACCCGAAAAGTTACCACTGCACTGACAGGTGCGATTGAAGAACCTGATAGGCCAGCGCTCGCGATCGTCCCGCCCGTCGTGAGGGTACTGAGGCCCGTGAGGCCGCGAGTCCACTCGCACCGGCATGCACTGCCCTCTTCTCAAGCTCACTCCACACGGGTCAGCGGCTCGGCCGAACGGAGACGGACAGCACTGACCGCTCCGGAGCCCCTCTGGTGTCACACAAACCCGTGGAAACTGGGCACGCACTACAGCAGCCCACAAGAGCACCAAAACCCCGTACATCCACATTGTAACAAAGAAAATAGCACTTACTGATTAATGTCTACTGTTTGTAATATCTGTCCTCTGAATGAGCACAAGCTGTTGTTTGCCTTCAATTTGTGAAACTACAGACAACTACAAGCTTTCACTGCTGCCATCCCAAACATTCCATCACTCTGATTGGCCGCGCAAGAGCCAAATGAGCACAGAAGCTTAAATAGCGGATTAGCGCGTGACTCTCTGGATCTCTGATCCCCGCGTGATCACGTCACATTTCCTACTAAACGAGTGGAGGGGGTTTACTGGGGTCAGGTAGCGCGAGCTCAGCCCCAGGCTGCTACATACTACTGTAGGAAACCTACTGAGAAGCTTCCTCTGCAGAGGGCAAAATTTAGCCACCTAAAGACCCCTAAGGGCCTGTATGTGGGCCCACACTTCAGTTCTTTACTCGCATGAATACAGAATGTACACAATGGTCTCATAGTAGATTCTGTATAATTTATAGCAGTTTTAGAAGAAGAAGTTTTAAGATTGATAACAGAATTATAGACCTGGCAAAAAATGTATCTAAATATTCAGCCCAGACTCCTGCGATAAAAAGGCAGTGTGAAAAAAAGGTGCAAAAGAGTGAAGCTGATTTTGGAGTAAATAGCTGGAAAGCTCTTTAAAATCTGTTTCCTCTGTGCTGCGTGTCCACAAGCCCCACAGCACACAGTCATGTGCCTGCAGATCCATGGTCACAGGGCCTTCTTTCTTTCTTTCCTTCTTGATGTAATCATACCAACGCATATTTAATCCGTCCAATGAACCAAAAAACACTACAAGTTCCTTTAAGATGACTGTTGTCCAGTGATATAATAATAATAAAAAATTAAAGATGATGATGAATGGTTCACCTCAATTTTTTCCATAAACCCCAGGAATACCGTCATCCAGACATAACTTAAAAATTAGCTATTTATTTAGTTGAAGTGTTAGATTACTTTTGAGATTATTATTGAGTCAGAAGGGTAATGGATGCATTATATCCTGGTGGGCATACCTCTTGTTTTACCCCCGACATTAATGTGTAAATCAAAGAGATACAGTTTCCCCTCCCTTCGCTGGTCTTTCTTATTTGGGATTTGAATAGTTCCTATTGGAACCAGGGTACACTTTTGCACAGCCACCTAAATATCTTGTGGATTTTGTTTGAGATCAGGTTAAATTGGCTGTTTTGGCTTACACAAACAAAGAGGATAAAGTAGGCAGGACCTTACTATCCTAGATAAAATGCTCACATGTTTGGTCTCTGCATGCTTTAGAGGGGAACTGTTTATTTCACCTCAGCCATTGCTTGGGAGACTTTACAGAATGTGCTTTATGTTGAAGACACATTACATTCTGTTGTTGTTGAAGAACATATAGCTCTGCCCGTAGGGATTTTCTGGAAGTAGAGGATGTAGGAGTTGACAGAAGTTGATTTACTAAAGTGTTCTTAAAGGTCACTTAGTTTCCTTCATTCTTTCATTCGTTCATTCTCACTTCTAGGAACACACCAATACAGGAACACTGGGCTGATACTGATATACATGTAAGTCTATAGGGTGGTAGACGCCCTCTTTTCCAGTGTTTCTTCTGAAATCAATGGACTTAATAGGGAGTTTGCCCCCCCCCCATTGCTACAGTAACAGCCTCTACTCTTCTGAAAAGGCTTTACACTAGATGTTGGAACATTGCTGTGAGGATTTGATTGCATTCAACATTCACAAGAGCTTTAGTGAGGTCAAGAACTGATGTTGGATGATTATTTCTGGATCACAAATGCCACTACAACTCATCCCAAAGGTATTGGATGGAGCTCCATTACTCCAGAGAATGCAGTTCCTCTGCTCCACAGCCCAGTGCTGGAGGGCTTTATATCTTTCTAGCTAGTGCTTGTTATTGGAAATGGTGACCATAGGCTTGTGTGTGGGTCAGTGCTTTTCTATGGATATTGTGCAAGCCGTATATGAGAAACTAAACACCAGTGTCAGCAATAGGCACACTTTAAAGTAGCTGAATTCACTAATCAGAATATCTGTTTACTTATAGATGTATGTCTGTGAGTGTGGATACTCATATATATATATATCCACACGCCTTGTTTAAATAGGAATTGGAACTAGATCCACCTGGTTTAGCAATATGGAGAAATGTAACATTTACTTATACAGAGTAAACAATGCACTAAAATGAATGAAGTAGCTTAGTAACCCAGCAGATCGAAGCATCTGTGCAGTGCTTCTAAAGTTTGCTTGAAACAATTACCTGCTGATGCTAATAATGTCATTGTGTATCCCTCTTAATTTTTTCTTTCTTCAATTTATTTTGCATCTATCTGCCATGAACAGCAAATAAAACTGTTTGATTGTCAGTATGTGCTGTTGGGTGAATGCAGCATGTCGTCTGTCCTCACCCTGCCGTGTCCTTTAAACACTTGCAGTAATGCTGTTAATTTGACACTCCTCACTGCTCTGAGGGTCAGCTGCTTCACTCATTGCATGCTAAAGTGTTGGGTATATGCTGATGGATCAAGCTTTGAAACAGCAATTTATTACCACTCTAACTATACTGCATTTATTCTGACAATTTCAAATCAGTCATTTTCTTTGCTGCTTACACGTTGTTACTGCACTTGGGCATGTGAGTCTCAATAACCAAACCTCAGGAGTCTTTGAGTCATTAGCACAAAACTCTAAACATTTTACTGTAATGAGGTACTTACTGTCACATTGAACAAAAAATGGCTTGTGTTTTTCTTGGGCAAACTGCTGTCTATGTTCTGTATCACCCTCACATACTCATAATGAATATGAGAATCTAATTCAAGTGTGATTCTGTGTATTGCATAAGTGAAGTTGTAAGATTTCCAGGTTTACGTTCAGAGAAGCCCTAATGATTTCTGTAAAATACAACAGTACATATCTGTAATTTTTAGTTAAGTTTTTATTTTATAGAATCATTGTGCTTGTTGTGTATAAACTCCACACATAGTAATATGCTTTTTTGTTGTTAAGTTTGGGTTGGAAATAAAAAAGGTTTAATTCTTGAAGCGCCCCATGAAAAATGAAGCAATCAGATTTTATTCTCTGTGGCACCTACTTTAATTTAGCCAGGCAAGCTCTCCCATTGATTAAGATTTCAGGAGCTGAATTGAAGGCCTAATAAGTCAGATTAATCACTGACATAATTACAGACTGACAGTGAAATTAATCAGTCATGTTTTGATTTACACTGAGTGGGACCAATTTTAGTGAGAAAAAGGTCAGTCTAGACCTTCTGGAGGCCATAGATATGTGATTCTTTACTGAAATGTAAATGATAAATAGATAGCAGTGTTAATAAATAATGTTTTTCCCATCAAAACATTTGACAGTGGTGTAATTCTACTCTAGCTAGAGAAACAAGAATTAAGGAAAAATAACACAAACTGCAAATTGCAAGCATGTAGATGGAATTTTGGCTGTAAATCAGCTCACACTTACATGTGATCCTGAGAGGTTAAACATTGTTTATCTGTTGTAATATTTTTTTCTGCTTCTGTTGTTTTGCTGTCGTGTTTTCAAGTGGTATAAGACCTGTAGAGGCATAAACAGAGACAATAAATAATCTCTTCCTTATGGAAACTGTGAATAGCTCCACACAGCCAACAGTTTTGCTGTTGATCTGCTGCTGCTCCAACTGTTTGAACATATCTGTGCTGACTGATGCAAGAGTGTGAAGGGAACAAACAGCACTTTAAATCACTATTTCTCATTTTCATTACCATTAAAATTAGATGTTTACATTTTGGCACAGTGTTGTAGGCCTACTTAATATGATTTTTTCATTATTTGGTCAAACAGGCCAAAATTTTGGTGCTAATTTTGGTGCTTCCCTAGAAAATATTCTGATATAAATTCATATTGCCCATCCTTAAAGGCCTAGTCACACTTGCGATGAGTGATTTCACATTGCAGACTTGAATGAAGTAATTTTGTGTGTGTGAACATCCTCTGCTATTGTGTAGTATTATTGTGATGACCTCTGAATGGGCAGCCCTAAAGCACCGAACCTCCAAAATGGAATAAAACACAAATTTAACCAGTATCACAGCACAAACCTTTTACCATATCTTCCCTACTGGCTATAAATAAACACATGAAAGAAACACTGTATGATACACAGTCAGTCAGGAGACTTTATCATTCTTACTTTTATGGCTTAACTGTTTGTTTTACATGAGTTAGCCAGCTTGCTCACAAGTCACCCCATTGTCACCATACACACCAGTGGTCTACACTCTTTGTACAAATGTGCACCACTATGCTGTGGTGAGAATATAGTTATCTGAGAGGATTATTTATTTCTGTGTTTTCACTGTTTATAGTAGGAAAGTAAGGCATTTTTGTACAACTACGTTTTGTGCACTAATGTGTGGTAGATGCAATGTTAACTCCATGGCTAGCAGCAGCTGCACACAAGTCAACTCACTGCAGTTAGCTATGCCACTTATCTACACTTTTTGTACACATAAGTGGGCAGCACTGTGGCAAGAATATAGTTATCTGACACAATAACATATTTAGTTTTGTGTTTTTTACTGGTTATGGTAAGCAAGTTAGCCAGCTGGCTAAATGCTATTGCACACAAGTCAACCCACCGCCACAAACCATGTCAGTAGTCTAAATATTTTTGTAGAAATATATTTTTGTGCATCACTGTGCTGTGGCAAGAATATACTTATATAATTCCATTTATTTTTGTCTTTCTACAGTTCATGGTAGGCGAGTTAGCCTGCTTGCTGCTGGTTATGTGCAGGTTATGTGGGCTAAGTGCAGTTGCACACAAGTCGCTGAGAACCATGCCAGTTGTCCACACTTTTTTACTTTTGCTTTTTTACTTTACTTTTGTGTCATTTCTGTTTATATTTAGCACGTTGGCTTACTTACTGCAATGCAGCGCAAACTGCAGAAGGCTAGTGTGACACGCACATCTCTTTTTACTCATGTGAGATCTTAGTCTTGAGACCTTTAAATCCTGAGGTGGCACGAGAGCTTTGTAAAAGAAAATGCCCCCTTAAACCTTTTAATATCCCACAAATTAGGCAAATCTCCCATCCAATTATTCTCCTCCACTCCCCAAACCCCCCACCTCCACCTGATTATAGGTAATCAAATACCATTTTCT